CCTTACAGATGACTGCAAGTTGAGTGTTTCTTACAGCGTAACACACTGCCTTTGTAAGAAAGTAAACAGAATAACCATCAGTCCCAATAGTAGAGGCTGTTTATGTTGCAAAACTCTGCTTGTAAATACTTCAGGATTCACACCTCTGATGCCTTAAAGAAGCAGAGTGGTGCTTTCTGAACCACGAGCAGCTGGAGTGACACTTGCTGCCTGCAAAGCTCATCACAAAGGAAAAGATCAGCTGTATTAATCTCATTTTAAAACACCCTTTGTCACAAAATACAGCTGATTATTTTCTCAGAGATGGGTTCTCAGCGGCTCAGGTGGCAGAGCTGATTATATTGGGCTGCATCAAAAGGAGTTGATCCTACCCCTCTACTCTAGTGAGACCCTGCTTGCAGCACTGTATGCAATTCTGGTGTCCTCAACATCAGAAGGACATGGAGCTGTGGGAGCAAGTCCAGAGGAGGCCATGAGGATGATCAGGGCCCAGAGCACCTCCCGTATGGAGACAGGCTGAGAACTTGGGGCTGTTGAGCCTGGAGAAGAGAAGCTGTGTGGAGATCTCAGAGCAGCTTCCAGTGTCTGAAGGGGGCTCCAAGGATGCTGGAGAGGGACTCTTCATCAGGGAGTGTAATGACAGGACAAGGGGTGATGGGTTCAAAGTGAAACAGGGGAAGTTCAGGTTGGAGATAAGGCAGAAGCTCTTCCCTGTGAGGGTGCTGAGGCGCTGGCACAGGGCGCCCAGAGAAGCTGTGGCTGCCCCATCCCTGGCAGCGTTCAAGGCCAGGTTGGACACTGGGGCTTGGAGCAAGCTGCTCTAGTGGAAGGTGTCCCTGCCCGTGGCAGGGGGTTGGAACTGGAGGAGCTTTAAGGTCCCTTCCAACACAAACCGTTTTGTGATTCTGTTTATATTCTAAAGATACATAAATGTGGTCTTCTGATTTTTCCCTCAAATTCAGAGTGTTTTATTTGATGAGGTTCTTCACCTGGAAGAATAGCTGTAACCAAGCCTCTAAGTAGCAGAAAGCACGGCAGAGATCCTAGAAGGTAGAAACTTGCTTTCTGGTAGTGACCATTGACCTGTCTGTGACTTTGAGATGCACACAGATAAATATACAACTTTATTTTTCCCTTGGGCATTGCCTTTCTCCTCTGCCTCTTCCGGCTTAGGGCAGGGTGCTCATGGCCATTTGTGTTGCTAGGCTTGCAAGAATGTTGTCAGTGAAGTATTTTTAGCTGGAAAACTGATGTATCCAAGCTTATAACGTAGATTAATTTAAAAGGAACTTAATGAAGGGTTTGTTGGAGTTGTTTTGCAAGCCAGGAAAAAGCCACTCAACCCTGCGGACAGACCTGTATCTATTGGCTGCGATGTTTAGCTGGGATTTGGGGAGATCTGGGTGTGAAGTTGTATCCTACCATTACCTTTTTTATTACTACAAGGGAGATCCAGCTCTATAGTGGTGGGTGGCCCTGCACAAGGATGAGGGAATGGGAACTCATCCCTGGAACAGGCAAATCCACAGTGGCCACTCTCTTCCTGACTGATGGTCAGGCAGTGTCTCACTCTCCACATTTGAAAGGGTTTTGTCCCAAAGCAGAATAGGCAAAATACTTTAAATCACTTCTCATTCTCACTGAAGAAACAATTTCCTACGAGCTCAGGCCTGAACAATAGAGCCTTGATCTTGATAGGGGGCTGTGGATGTTACTGTAATGCTAATACGTGCCACCGTTGGCCTTTGCGCTTCTGGCATATTTCAGGCACTATATAGGGAGCCTGTAATCAGCTGCAGAAAAATTCCCTCCTGTCTCTCTCCTAGCAACCCCTTCTGAACTGATACTGGAAAAGAAGCTTGCTTTCCATATCAGCATCCAAGTATTTTCAACACTTGCTGTCATTGAAATTCTCATTAAGAGCCTTGGGACTAAGATAATTTACCTTCAGGTCCTCGGGATTCCTTTGGTGTTAAGGTAAAGCTTTTGAACTTCTAATCCATTAGAAACCTGACTTGTATTCCAGTTTTCCTCTTTTCCCTTGACTTCTACACTGGCTGTATCTGACACCAAGTCAAATTAGCATCCTGAGATGATAAGGAGATAAAAGCAGCAAGGCCAGAAGTCACTGGACTCGTAGGAGCAAGCCGAGAGTCCCGAAAGGGATTTGGCTGTGGTTTTGTTAAAACATTTTAGCACTTGTGATGTGTTACAGACTGGATTTGTAGCTCTATGATTTTGACCCCATATACACACAGTGTAGCTCATGCCCTGCTGTGGAAATAAGACAGACTGCTCGTACCAGTATGAACCACTGGATTGCCACTGGAATTGAGAGCGTTGAAGTCTTTAGGGAGGGGAAGTTCATTGTGCCCCAGGCACAACCTGGTTCCTTAAGTCTCGTGGGTCTCCAAACTGGCAGCTCTTGGATCTGAGACGGTTGATTTACTGCTGTTTGAAACGTGTTTGGAATGGGATTCATTTGGGATTATGGAAAGTATTTGAGCTGAGAAAATTGTTGAGTTGGGGCCTGTGTTCTTTACTCAGATACATTCCATGAGCTGTGGTGGTAGAGCTTTCTCTGGGATCAGGATTGGAGTCCTCTGAACTTGTCAGGTCCCTTCTGCTGTTCCTCTGTGCTCTTCCCTTGTGCTGTTAGAGAGTTTTCTGTCCGGCTTTGTGGGATGGGGAAAGCTTGAGCTTTTCCTCTGGTTCCCGGTCTTCCTGGAGTCCCAAGTGCTTACTTTTGTGAAGACTTCTTGGAGAGGGAAGGAGCTCCTAGGGTGTAAATGTTCTTTCTGTAATTGCTTCGTGTACTTCCCTGACTAGTGCTCTCAATCACTTTGTTGGTGGGATTTGGAGATGCTGGCACATGGAATTCACCTTGTGCCCAGGAAAAAAAGACTTCCCCAGCTACCTTATTTCTGCTGTTGCATTTCCAGAGACTTCCCCTGTGTAGATACAAGAGCTTTATTGCTGAAAATTACTTTTTTTGTCCTTAATCTCTTGTATCATGTCAGTAAACAATGTGGTTGTTCCCAAACCTCCCATCTGCATCCCAATACATTTCCCTTTTGTCAACTTAACTCATTTACTACTTCACTGGGGTATTTTGTAGGACTTTTAGGCCCTTGCCACAGCAGGGCCAGTAATCAAATATGGCACCACGTTGCTTACTAATAGTCTTCTGAAGTTGGGAACACCAGAAGTGAGCCTGAGTGCAGAAAGCTCTGCTTAAATTTATGGTCAGTGTTAACTTGCAGAGCATCACAGCCTTCAGCTGCTCAGGAGCTGGCTCTGAGGACCAGGCTGGGAGAGCTGCTTTTTATTAAGTGGGGCTTGATTTAGTCCTAAGTCAAACCATTTGTATTTAACCTGAACCATGGTGCTGCTGTAAGTGTTATCATACTTCAGCACTAAACGTTTGTGTAAGAGCCTGTTTCTCAACCTGGAGTAGTTATCCCTTAGATGAGTGTGTACATTTTAACCTCAGTTGAGCCTATATTTAAAACCTACTATCGTAGCACTGGCTGACATGATCTGGTGACCAGTGTTCCTTAATGCCAGCTCTGAAGCACGCTGCAATGCTTGATTGTATATATATGACACTAAGCTCCTCTCTGCAAACCTGGAGGGATGGAGCTATTCCCAGAGATGCCTGTTGGCTTTTAGGGAGAGAAATGACTTGCATTTGGGGCATTTAGGCATGGATTTGCCCTTTGTGAGCTGCTCTTGGGTTACTGCCAGATACTTGCTGCCATTTCACTGTAGGGCAGAGCAGCTTATGCTGAACCAAGAGAACTCTTGAGCCAAACCAGACTCTTTTCCCTCCCCATGAGAATGAGGGGAAGAAGGAGGTTGTTGCATCCAAACTCTCTTGGAGCTGGCACTGTGGGGAAACTCCATCCAATCTGGGAGCCATTGTACTTGAGGAACTGTAATAAATCCAGAGGAGCACACACAGAGACTGCTGGGATCGAATTGGTTCTTTGGGATACAGAAGCCTCTTCTTTTAGTTTGTGACGCACCTTAAGCAGATTTAATAGATCATCATGTGAGTTCAGGGATAGACCAGAGCTGAGATTTGCTCCTAGGAGTCGGTCCTGGGCAGTTACATTCCTGATGGATCAGGAATATTCAAGTGAGTGTATGTGTGTGTGCACAGTGCCATGAAGGCACACAGGGGAGAGCTTTGTGGGCAAATCTTGTGCCTTGAAAGCAGAAAACCTTTTGCATCAGTGAAAAGTCTTGGTTGTTAAAGGGAACCTGCCTTCAGTTCCTCTTAGCCTGAGTGTTTCTGCCAAGCTCACTGCTGTGATGTGAAGGATCTCATGTTTGATATTCTCTGTTCTTGCTCCCTTCCCTCAAACAGGGGCAGAGCTGCTGCAGTCTGAAGTTCAGGTGGGAATAAACCTTTGATTTTCCTCCTGCTCCGTGTTTTTTCTGATGCTTCCCTCATAATTCATATTGAGATTATTGATTAAAGGCAATTGCTGTAGGATATTATTCACAATCCATTAACCCTGATTTAGAGCAGGATTCTTCAGCAAGCTCAGGTGCTGAAACATCACCTTTAATTGTTTTCACTGAACCTTACTTGAAATGAAGATTTCTTGCCTCTCTGTTCATATTCCCTTCTTCCCAAAGCACTGCTGCTTTGATTCTTGCCTTTCAGTGTTGAGAAATACACTTGTTCTTCTCACACTGTGCCTCATAATCTCACCCTTCTGCCATGTCTCCAAAGACACGGAGGTTTTTGGTCTGACAAAGTCAGATTAACATGAGATTGTCATCATTTGCATCGCAGTTGCGGGAGGCCATCTGACAGTGCCGAAGGCAGCCAAGGAGAATTGAGTTCATCAGCTCTTGCGTTTGTCAGAGCACAGTTCTGCTCCTCTCATCAGGGCAAGAGAGGAATGGTTTCTATGTGAGCGGTCTGTGCTTTGTGGCTCAGCTCCTGAGCACTGGAGAGAGGTCTGAGTCCTCACCTCACCTCCAAGCCTTGCCCCTTGGGTTCATGTCTGTGTATGGTGAGGCTTTGGGGCTAGTTCTAGACTTTTAGCTCCCTTCCACAGTCCAAATACATGTCAAATATGCCTCTGACAGGGACTCATTGTCCTCTTAAATCAGAGTTTACGCTGCATGCAAGTAGATGGAAACACTGAGCAGCTCGGAGGGGAAGGGAGAAATCATCTCAAGATTGCTGAGCACAGGGGGAGGGATTCTTTATCCTTAGAACAGGCTTTTACTAATGTCATTGTGGTGGCGTGGTCACTTGCATGTGTCAAGATGCTTAAACTGCACGTTGTAGCGTAATCTGAAGATTTGGGTTGAAACTATTTGGTTTGACAGGCTTCTGGTTACCCATATCTGAGTAAATGGGTTTTATTTCCCAGCCAGAATGTTTTCCTTTACTTAATACATCAGTATTGAGAGCAAGCACGAAGTCACAATCTTAGGAGGACTCAATGAATTTGTTGTGAAGTTTTATGGACCACAAGGAAGTAAGTGTATGACCCAGCCCTTCTATAAAAACAAGCTAATGGTGGGGAACACTGAAATGACACATTCCTTGGGAGTGGAAGAAGTGATGAGCAAATCTAAATGGGGCTGAGAAATCAAAGGGTAGCAGTGTTGGAAGGCTATTCAAGGGCGGGGAGAAACACAACAGTGAGCAGTAATGCAGATGAACCATCTCCCTTGGAGCTGAGCAGAGCCTTTGGACAGCTACGCCCTCTGCTACGGCCTTGAGCATTGTTCCATTGATTCTTAGCTTTTCTAGACCTGGCTCATAAATTTTGCATCAGTCATCGGAATTTTTGGTGGAGTTTGTAATACAAATGGCTTTTCTAATGCCAAGCTCACAAGTCAGGTCTCCAGTGTGCCCTAATATAGTTAACATCTCTAAAAGTAAGTAGATTATTCCAAAGTCTGTGTTTTGAAGAAGCTCTTGTGCCTTTGTGCTGAGATCTGCTGCAGTATCAGTTAAAATCATGGATTTCCTGTCAGGCAGCACAGGAAAAAGGCTTTTACCGTAGGAGGTTTGATATAAATCTTAGCCCCTGATGGAGCCAAGTATTCATCCAAAGCTGTGTTTTGCTTCATGTTGCAGTTCTGTTTCTTCTCTATGAAGTGTCTAACACCTGCATTTCTTTCTTTGCAGCACCATATGAAGGTGGAGTGTGGAAAGTTAGAGTCGACCTTCCTGATAAATACCCTTTTAAATCGCCATCTATAGGTAACTAATAACCACTTCTAATCAAAATCATGTTGCTGTTTGTGCAGGAGAGATCACTGCTTGCAGCACTGTTGCCGGTGAAGTTGTACCAACCCTCGGTGCAAGCAGAAGATCTTTACTTTAGGTCTGCAGAATGCTGTATCATAGATAGCCAGATACCACATGCTAAGCAGAGAGGAAGTTTGGTCTTTTGGCTGAACGCTTAGGAGCTGGAAATGGGATTTGGTCACACATTTATGTGTGGATGAACTGAGTCTCTCGCCATGTGTGGTTTTAATTATAGCTCCATTCATGGGAAAGGTTCAGGATACCACAGTGAGTGGTGGAGCCTGTTTATGTAAAATGACTCTCTTAGTATGGAGAGCAAAGACCTTGGTGCATGTTCGTGGTCTTGGGGTGAACCTAGCTTTTGGCATGTCCAGAAGTGGATGGAAGTGAACCTTCTGTCTTCTTGGACTGGATGAAGCGTATGTGGAAGAACATGAAGCAGGGACCTCTCCCAAGAAATCTGGCAACTGGCTGGACTGGTCAGCCGTGTTTCACTTCTGAGTTTGATAAGGAAATGTTCTTTAGCCTGTATCCATGCTGCCTTTGTCCTTGGGTAACGGTGCTCAGATGTCTTCGGTAGACAGCTTTATTGCAGTCACTTAAGCTCTAAATAAAATAGCAAACAGTGCTTGAAAAACTGGAGCAGATGCATGAAGTTCCAACATCTCTGTTCTGGCTTATGAAGTAAGTGCTGGTAACTCAGTGACATGGCACTTCTCCATCAGAAGGGTGTGCTTGTGGTTCAAGCCACAGAGGACTGGAAAGAATGGAGAAGACTGCCTGAGGAGAAATGATGTGGAAACTTGACTAAATGGGTTGGACAAGATGGGTCCCTTCCAATATCAACATCCTGATTTGGAGTTGATAAGTATTAGCTGCTTTCTTAAAATACTCTTCCACTAAGAGTGCCTTCTATTTAAGCTCTCTGGTGTGAAAAATAATCTGGCTAGTTCCAAATGTGAACTGTGCCTTTTTGGAAAGAGCAGCCCTGGGTTTACACTATCCTTTAGCTTTGCTTACTGCTGAGACTTTAACTGAACCACAGAGACAAGCACACAGCTGAGTAACAACACAGTGGTGCTGTAACTATGTGAACCCTTTTGCCCTTCCTCTTGAGTCAACTCTGAAATTTGCTATAGACCTCTTGGGTTAGAGACTGCTTATGAGATCCACAGCGTGTTATTTGGTGCCAGTCATTTCCCTGCTGTGCATCAGGGTACTGTCATACTGGCAATCTGAAATGTGGGCTGGCTACAGACAAACTCGCCATTTAAACCCAGTTTCTTGCTGTTCATTGCTTTGGTGCTGGTCTACTCAAGATGTGTTTTTCTCTCTCCTGATGTTCTGTCTGTGCTTATTAGAAATGAGGGTTGCTGCCTTAAAGCAAAACCAAACCTTCTTTCCAGTAGCCTTTGAAGGCATTCAGCTGAACATTGGCCAGGCTCTTGTAACTCCATTGTGCTGTTGATTTAGGCTCTGGTTAGCTGCATGGAAGGTGGTAGCTTTGACCTTTGGGTGGTTTGGCTTGGAGGCTGTTTCGTGCTGGTTGGGAGTAAACTGGGATCAGAGTGAACCCAGCTGCGCTTTCAGAACGGACACCACGAGGATGGCCTTTCTTCTTGTGAGCTCGGGGTGGGGTGGATGTGCAGGGAGTTGTTTTCTGCTTAAATCATCACAGAATCACAGCCTGGTTTGGGTTGGGAGGGACCTTAAAGCTCCTCCAGTTCCAACCCCCTGCCACAGGCAGGGACACCTTCCACTAGAGCAGCTTGCTCCAAGCGCTTGTGTCCAACCTGGCCTTGAGTGCTGCCAGGGATGGGGCAGCCACAGCTTCTCTGGGCACCCTGTGCCAGCACCTCAGCACCCTCACAGGGAAGAGCTTCTGCCTAAGAGCTCATCTCAGTCTCCCCTGTGGCAGGTTAAAGCCATTCCCCCTTTTCACTGCATTGCTTTGGCCCTTTTAATGTTGCTTTTGTCTTCTTTCAGTACAGCAGTTTTCTGTTATACCCACTGTGTGGCAACTGTTTTATTCTGGACTCATGAGACCTTTTCACGTGCTTCCCTCTCTCCCTGTGAGTCTATTTCAGTGGCTGGAAACCACCTCTTTTCTTTCTAAGCTGCCTAAATGCTGGCTCTTGCTCTGGGGCTTTGCCTTGCTCTGTGCTGGGCAAGGGCTGCTGGAAGTGCAGGTTCCCTCCCAAGTGAAGCAGTGTGCAGCTGAGGTTTCAGGTTGAATAAACAGTTGATGCTAGACAAGAACTGGCTTAGCAAAGCAGGGCTCAGCTCTGCTGTGAGGAGGAAGGAGTGGAAGTGCCAAGGAGAGAGCTGGGACCTGTGGGAGCTCCCAGCCAGCTGCAGGAAGAGGTTTGTTTTGCTTTGTCTGGTTCCCATCTCTGCTGCCCCAGCCCAGCTTATCTGGAGGGGCCAGGGCTGAGTGATGTCTCAGCCCCTTCCTCTGGGACAGCCTGATCTCCACACCACTGCTCTGGGGGCAGGCTCAGTGTGCAGTGCCTGATACTGCTGGATTTGGCATTACAGATAGCTCCAGAGCAAGGTTTCATCCCAGCTGCGCTGGGAGCATTCACAGGCTTGTAAATGACATGTGATCCTCTCCTAGATCTGTGTGTTCCAATGAGCAAGGGTGTCCTAACCTAGCAGGAGTTGGGATTGAGCTCCGGATAACGCAGGGGTAGGAATTGGTAGGGAAGAAACTTGCTGTGACAATCTCTGATGCGAAGGAGGTAGAAGTGAAGGATTTCAGAGGTGGTAGATTCTGTAGAGACAGACGGTCATCTAAAGCACACATGGAGCTTGTTTGCAAGCCTTGTCTTCTGGCCACCACATAGCTCCCACTGTGGTGCTGACATGCAGAGTTCACATTGTAGAAGTCACTCACTAGCTTGTATAAAGTATAGAATGCAGCAGATTCTTTTCCTTTCATAAATTACACTTTTATGCTGAAGCTTAAAGCAGAAGTGATGCCCTTGCAGCTTTCCTTGTTCCTTTTACTGTAGGCTAACATTTTCTTTCCATCCTAATGCAGTCTTGAGCGTGGTATGGGCTTTTTGCAACAAAGAACAGGATGGCTTGAAGCATATCTATGAGTTCTAGAGAGCTGCTTCTGACAAATAACTGCTAATAGTTGCTTTCTAGTCTGTTCAAATTGCCTTTATCCCACCGTAAGTATAAGGTACATGAAAACTTGGTGTTCTCTTCTAAGTGTGACTGACAAACCTGAATAGAAAAGGGTTTTAAAGTGGGCTTCAGATTTGTCATCTGGAGAGGTGAGGCCCTATTCTTAAACCCTAAATGAGCGGTGGTCTTCTTCACTATTGAGGGTCTTCAGCAGAAGCCTTTGCTCAGTGTGGTGGCTCTTCTGCCATATCTTAGCTCCCTTTCCCCATCCATAGCTCCCTTCTCAACTACATGTGGCATTCACTTCCTGCCCTGCTCAGGTTGGTAGTTATTGCTGTAGTCTGTTAAATGGTGCTGCTCCAGCGACAGCATTCTCCTGGCAGTGTGGGTAAATGTCTCTGCTTAAAGACCTAAACCAATCCTGGAATCTCTGTGAAAAGAGCCATTCCTGGGAGAGGTTCTGGTGTTTCAGCATGTCCTGCAGTATCTCTCTGGTGTTTCTGGCACTGCCTGTTCCTTGCTTCCTCTTTGCTGTGTAATCTGACAGATCCCATATTGGTGCAGGGTGATTTTTTTGCCTAACAAAATCTATACAACATAGAGGAAGAAGGGGAATATGCATCCTGGAAGAACACAGATCTAACCAGAGCCAGATGTGGGGCTGTCATCTTGGCTCTGGGCTCGAGTGCTCCTGTTGAGATGAACTAACTCCACTCATCATACCTAAATAGCCACATCTTCAGGTTGGAAACAAAACTGAACTTGAGTGCTTTGGTAAAACAAACCCAATTCCTGAAGCCAGGGAATGCTGCTGTTCCCGAGCCTTTTATCAGTGTAAAGATCCCTGTGTGCTTATGAGGACCCAAAGCACTCCCCTGCTAGATGTTTGGTTCTGTTTCTGCTATCACCCAGACAATGTGTTTTGAGCTGTTGATGATTTCAGTAACCCTCTTGGCACAGCTCCGCTGCTTTTCCCTTCCCTCTGGGACTGAATATCTTAAGGGGAACTTTCTGCTTAGTCTGTGCCTGCTTTTCCAAAGGGGAGTTGTGAAGTACTTCAAGTCCTGTTCGGAGCTCCCAGGTCATGAGAAGACTTTGTGTAACTCTTGCATGTTTTTAATCAGTCCATATTCCTGCCAAGAGCCAGAGATTAACGCTCTTTGATGCCATAAACATGGAAAGAAGCACAGTGGGAATGTCCTGCTCTGCTCAGATGATAAGAGCAGTAGTAACATACGAACCTGGGAGCCTGGGCTCTTACCTGACAGCACGGTGGCACTTATTTTATTGCTCAAATCTACAGGAATATTAGGCCAACACTGGCTTCTTAATAATCAAATGTCAGAGCTTGTGTACAATATGCTCAGAGCCTCCATTTCTCAAATCACTTCTGTGTATTTATCCCCAGCTCTCATTTTCCTTCCATCTCTGGCCCAGTTAGCTGCAGATAGCTTGCATTTAGATTTCACCTTTCTCAAAGTGTTTTGCTAAACCAAATGGTCAGTATACGCACAAAACACATGGAAGTATGTGTGGATGTGTACATCTATCACAAGACACTGTGGCAGCCAATAGAGGAATGAAGAGGTGTTTAGCTCCAGCCAGGATTTAACGGATCTCTCCTGGCCTGTGCTTTTGAACTGCAGCTGCTATTTTTATTCCAGCTCCTCTCTGGATTGCCTTACATTTTGCTGCGTAGAATTTCATGAGTCACTTATTGCCTGTGACCATTCTGAGCTTGCTCTTCCCTCTCTGTTGCCCCTTAGTCTGACCTATAAGTGATGGGGAAATGCTGCTGCTTTCAAAGGTGCTTTGGC